ATACAGCAGTACAAGCACGGCCGGGAAAAGGAAGAGGACTGCTGCGTGATAGATAGGATGAGACGATGGCGCGTGGATGATGATGATGATGATGATGATGATGATGCTGTGAGTGTCGTATAGGAACTATACAGTATACTGTACGATGATGAGTCGCGTGATGACAACCGATTGCAGCTGCTGTTCGTGGCCCGACGACGAAGCGGGCGAATGTTTGTACAATTCCTGGGGAGCACCATTTTTTTGAAGCTTTTTTTTGTTTTTTTGTTTGTGCAGCGCGGTCGTGATGATGAGTGGGATGATGACGACAAAGAGAGAGAGAGAGTGAGAGGGCGATATGTGAGTGTCGATGCGTGATGAGACGACGGACGATTACTTTTTTTCCCCTTTTTTATTTAAGAAAGTGACACAATGCTGCCATATCTTTCTGCATAGGATGCTTCTCGGCAATCGTGGCCAAGTTTCTGCAAAGAGGGGGAGGTGTTTCATGATTAATTTTGATCGCGTGTCAAGATTATATTTCTTATAGGTACCCCGCCGTGCACCCCCGCGTTTTTCGAATGCCTCGCTGTCATCCGACAGGAAAAAACTTTTGTTCCCATGTGCTGTATTAGAACAGTATATAAGGGCAGGACAGCAGGCAGGATTTGATGATGATGACGATGATGATGGGACCCCCGAATCTAGTGGAATTCCAGCGTGACATATTAACCCGAAGTTATATCGATCGACGTGCACAAACACACTAACAGCGGTATAGAGCAACTAACGTAAAAAGTCCATTTATTATGCAGGTATGTATTTCATTGTGAATATACTCGTGTTTTTTTGTCGGATCTTTGGGAAAGTCAGTACAACAGACGTCTGCTCAGCAATCACTTTATATACATTTTGACATATGTGCTGCTGTACTGTGTAATAAAGTGCTCCGTGGAAAGAAAAGAAAAAAGTTTTGAACCAGTTTGTACTCGATGGCAGTATGTTATAGAGTCTGATGGTGGCATTCGTGCAGACGCAAATAGGTTTTAAAGGACGTTCGTCGGGGAACGTGAGAAAAAAGGGGATTAAGCTGTTTTCTGGAAGCTATTAAACCTGAAGGATGCCTCGGTCATTATTTTTTGACACGTTTTGTAAGAGAGCGTGCAATTTTGCCAGATTCCAAACTTTGGAGGAATGATGGGACTTGTCTTTTTTGGAAAACGTGGATTGAGCATGCTTGCTGCTGTCTTTTGGATGTATTCGTCGTTGGAGAATATACGACATTGCTGATGTCCAAAAAAAAAAAGCCTGTATTTTCATTTCTGACAATTGAATCCGAATCATTTTTGAGAAAAAATAGACCGGCCTGCGTGTCATCATGACGTCGATTGGATGGAATCGTGGTTGATTATAATGAACCTTAATAGACAACGTACCCAGACTAATTCTGAATAACTTGGACTTTTTTTTTTCAAATGCATCTCATGAAGTGTGCAGTTGAGTTTTCTCATTACTGTACAGCAACACCACATAGGACCAGGTGTCACATATAAGACAAGGCTTTGAGGTACAGCGGGGCCTTGATGCAACAAACAACGTGTGCCAGAAACCTGGGCTTATTACCCGCCAGTTTACCTCAAACAACAAAGCAGACAAGCATAAGAAAATGAAGAAAAATAGGATAAAGGAGGAATGAAAAAATAAGAACTGGAGTCAGGCGTCCCATCCTTTTGTGCATAACGTTTGACTTCAAGTATCAGAAGAAATTCAACTCAGATCAAGTTTAACTCAGATCTCTGTTGACAAGGCATGATTTTGAAAATGTCATCCATATAATACAACTGATTAAACTTAAGACCTATTTTGTGATTCCATAATGGTCACCTTGCCAATTTCAAGTTATTCACTAGCAAGTTAACCTATAATTTTTCTTTCATTTGCAACATGTAAAGGAAGTGTACATAAAGTCTGCATAGATTTCAAATTGATGCTTCATTTAAGGTGTATATCCTTGAATTTTCGAGAGTGGTGGGCACTCTACAGGATTGTGATTATTAATGAAAGTGAATCTGATTTTCATTAGTAATTTTGATTAATAATGAAGCTGGTGTTTGAGCAAGTCAGTCATATCAAAGAAATTTGTATGCAGGGGATCAAGCACACGAGCCATGCAACTGGCTCATCTGCAGCAAGCTTGCATCAGGAGCCTGGACTTGGGAGTGGAGCAACATTCCTCTGCTCAATTTTTATTTCATTTTTTGCACTTCTTACTCCCACCTCCTAAATTTTGCGAATGTGTGCACTTTTTAAAGGCAGTGTATAGTTTGATGGTTATAGTCTTTGTCCTGCACCGCATTTACCCTAAATAACCCCTCTGATAAAAACAAAAGCTTGGTGGAAGGAGATGCCTTATAACTTTTTTGTGGAAAGTTTTCCTTCAAATTGCTTTTGGTAGTGTACTGGTTATAGGACCATAAATAACCATAACATATCATTTGAAAGAAAATTTAGTAACATCTTTCTTACTCATTTGGCTTTTGTGTTCCTGTAGCTCAGTAGCAAACTGAACTACATGAACACAATAGCCAAATGAAAGATTGTTACAGCAGTATATCTTTTCAAAAATTGATTCACTTTATTGTACAATACTGTATATATATGCTTCACGATTATTGTATTTTTTTACAATTTCTTTCATGCTGCATAAACACTATCAGGCTGTGTGGACACATAGCAATTTGAGCATTTTGGTACAAACATGTCCATTGTTCATCAGTAATATAACTGTTTCATATTTGAATCGAATACCCAGCCATAACTCATCAACTCAACATTTGCTTCAGCATTGTGAGTGTGACTGATTTAGTCGCGATAAAAATATGGTTGATTAGAATTTGAGGGTGTCAAATTATGTTCTGCACACTCTGGCGCCATATAGGGCATCACGTACCCTGACGCAGGCACTTCTCTTCGGAATGCATCATCAGCCGAAGCAGCACTTGTGGGAGAGAGCTGATCATGAAAGAATACTTGTAGGAACCATCGAAAAAACTTTATTTAGACTTCACAATTTAAAATTAACTTCTCTAATTATTTTATTTGATTAATTATGTATGAACCTGGAATAATTTTATACTGTATTACTGTACTGTATACGTATAAATGTTACTTAGTGACACCTATAAGATATATGATGAAGTGTAAAGCTCGGTATTCCAGGAATCGCCGTACACGGCTGTGCGCTGCGAAACGAATTTGGGGACAGTACAGAACTGCGTCCATTTTCACTTCTATTTCTGGTCAGTGCCGTATTCGTGTCGTTGGATTGTTCGGGAAGATAATCTTCGACAGGTAATTGCGCGGTGAGATTCTGGCGTCGGTGTAACTTTCGACAAAGGTAAGCATACGCGAAGTGTTTCGAGGTTCCGAAATTTTCGTTCTGTGCGTCAGACATGGGGATACCTCGCTGGGTCATTTCGGGTTGCGCCTGCTGTACCCGATTGGCGATCGGTTGTATTCTGTGACGCTGACGCGTTCCATTTTTCATTCTGTCAGTCGTGGCACTCGTGGGGGATGAATCCTGGACGGGTGCGGTCGAATAAGGATGCGAAGTTTTTGGTAGGTGGACATGTAACGCATGTTAAAACGGATGTCTGTTTCCCATCATCTGTAGCTGATCACGGTACTTCTGTACTTCTGCATCAAAGCTGTCCATGCCCTTTTAATTGTATATTCACGCGCTCCCACTGAACGACGGGCAACTTGATAAACGGAATGCGAGAAACATCTTCAGGCCTTAGGCGCTGATCTGTACAGTGAACTGTACTTTCCGAGGGTTTCATATTCAACTCGAAGAATTTATGTAAAGACCTTAGGTACACTGTAACAGTTGAGGGGATGATGGGAGGTATAATTCCTTCTTCTCATTTGTTGTCTTCTGAAAGTCTAGCTCTTTCCTTTTCGCTCCCATATTCTCGTATTCTTTTTCTCATGCTGTGGATTTCGCTGATGGCTGGGTTATACATTTGATACGCGTCACATTTTTTTTTCTAAATACCCAATAAGAATGTTGTGTCGAGGGTTTAATTTATTCCTGGGCTGTCACAGGTCCCGGAAATGGAATGACGAAGCTGGAGGTAATCTTGAGTAGACCTCCGAACAGTGCGAATGTAACTTGGGTTAAAATATATAGCTTTCGCTGCATTCAAAAATGACGGAACAAAAGTGAAAATAGCATGTTGCGCAACCGATAGCTTCGGGAATTTAATTTGTGTAACGCTTGTGCAACTACAGTAGTACCATCATCTATGTGTGAGAGTCTGCTTGCAGTGGTCCGAAGTACAATTTTAGCATCTTATAATTCATGTCAATGGCCGGCTTCTTAACTTTGTCAGGCGCGTGCTTTGGAGAGATCTTGTTTGGGGAAGAACGGAGTATGAAAAGGGGACAAAGGCGCATTAATTTTCGAAGTGTGGACCGTCAGTGCCCGCGTCGGAGATGTCGGGGGGTAACTCATGGAGTTCTATGAATTGAGATGGATGTCGTTCTCTGTAATTTTGCAGACGGTCATTGAGCTTGGGGAAACCACTGGATTCGATCCGAAATGGTTTTGCAGCACGTGCCTTGGGCACTTGTACGAAAGCCTATAATATCCGAACATTGTTAATTTTGCCACTCTTGCGTTGCCAATTCTGATCATCATTGTCCGCGGATTGATAATTGCGTTCGAGCCTACAATTATTAGGGAGGTTCTGTTTTGAGTTGTGCTCTTCATTTACGAACACACGTTGGTTTTATTCTGTAGGCATTCCAGGTAAAGAGGTAAAATTGTGTTGAGTGGAACATCGATCTTGAACCTTATTCTATGCCGTACCAGTATGGGTTGACGTCAAAAGTGCCTGTTCGCATTGTGCGTGTCGGTGTATGAAATCAAAGATCGTGATCTGTGGAATGCCTGTCCGAAGTGCTGCGACAGAGAGTGTTTTTGCTTCTTATGTTCCCGAAATTGCTGAACCGCTTCTAGTTTCATTTCCACATAATTTGCAGGACTTTTCGGGAAGGCGTGGTCATCCGCTTATTCCTGGCGCAACTGTGTGATTTATTCCATCAGATGTGACTTTTCCATCCTGATCACAGGGAGTCAAAGAATGCCTTCTGCCGCTGCAGCAAAGCTTGAGAAGCATCTGTCTTCTGAAGCGCTTGATCCATTCAAACAGTGCGCGATCTTTTGTGAGAAGAAGGTCCGGAACTTGGAGAAACGAAAGGTATGTTTATTTGAATTTCTCGTCTATGAACTGTTTCCTCTCAGGACACATCGTTTGTAGGGGAAACTCGACGCTTACCGAGAAAGCTCAAATGCAGGCAAGGAACTCAACGAAGATCAGAAGGCTGCCGTTTCGAAGTATGGGGAAGTTGAGGCATCGTTGGAGTTGATGAAAGAAGTCTCTAAGCAGATAAATAGTATTCATGCGGACAGCATCAAACAACAAAAAAAGCAGGCCCGCCGAGAAATCGTGGAAAGAAGTCAAGCGGACATTCAACGATGCAAAACTGTGCTAATCTTCCAGGTGCGGCAGGATTTTCTTTCAGTTTTTTTTTTCGTGCTCAAGATGACATATTGGATTGTCCGCAGGAGATCTTCTTGAACTTGGAGGATGAAGTGGCACGTAATGACTTCTTAGCTGGGAACAACAAGGCCTGTAAAATAACCGCGGAGCAGCTTACAATAATTGATGAGCTTTACCGTTTGCTGTCACCAGTTCGCGACCAAGAAACTGCTGGGAAATATCATGTGATTTCTGTTTTGCAGACGATTTTTTCACTGTTGCAGTTACTTATGTGGGCCAATTTTTTTGAATGCAGACTCTTGTGGCTGCTGCTGCAGAACATTGGCATGATCTTCTAGAAGGGAAGCAAAAGGAGTTTGCTGGCATTACCTATGCTGCTGCTAAGGAGTTACTCTTTGCTATCAACGAAAGCGGTTATTTTGATCAACCTCGGGACGCACCTCAGGTGCGTTTTTAGTAGGAAAATGTAACATTACATCTATGTTCCCGGTTAATGGCTGTTCAGGTGGAAACGAACGGCGACGCTCATGATTATGGGAAGGATGTAGTGGAGGGAGCGAACGGTGGATCTCTGGACGTTTGTACTGTGGAAGACGAACGAACATACGCTGTTGATACAAATGCGCATTCTATTGAGTCAACTCCGGAACCTGTGCATGCATCTCCGTCGCCTCAGCCTGTGCCTCCTCCACACACTCACGACCTGCATCCCCCTCCCGAGACGATCGAAGATTCTCTTTTCAGGTACTGTAGTTGAGCACTGCACCTTTAGTTCAAAGGGATTCGGGTTATAACCGATGCCTGGATTTGTAGCGCCGCTGCCCCGTACAACCAGCAACTGATGGACGGCATAGCTGGAAACATCACATTCATCCATGATTCCGAGATTGGTTTGGGTGCAGAGAGTCAGATCAGCGCGCACCTTCAAGCTCCTGTGATGCAGCCAAAGATGGAAGTCGGTGTTCCCACCATGCTTCCAAATCAACCCTCACCTGTTATAACTCCGCCTATCCCGACGCAGACGTTTACGAACCAGAACTTCTCGACTGCGTACAAGACGAATTCCGTTTACCATTCTGCGTCTCCGGTTCCCCCTGGTATGGACACGATGCCGAATCCTCCCCCTCCGATCCCGATGCCTCCGTCTGCTGGTAACCTCGATCAACGGGCACTTTCTCTTGGACCTCATCATCCTCCTGGCTTCAATCAGGCATCCTACCATCCTGCAGCCCGTGATGCCTGGGTACAGCACGAGAAGCAGCCTGCAATCGAACAATGGCAAGCCAGTCCTGCCCAGACTCAGGTAAACGAAATGGTATTCGGCATTGGTTTCCTGATTAGCAAGTGCGAGTTAGTTATGTTTTGAATCCCAAATAACGTGATAACCTTAGTCAGAATTCCGGGTTCCTTGAACTTGGAAACAGCCAAGCGTGCGGAAGATGAAGCTGTATACTCTCAGGTGCTGTGTTTTCGAGCTATATTCTCCTTCTTCAATAAGTTGACTGACGGGTTTTGAAAGCACTGGGAAAAGGAAATAATGGCCTGATGGAGGGACATAACCGTTTGCATCTTTCCTCTCTCAGCCTGTTCCCGCGCCTCAGGTGATCCCAGAGGTTGTCCCAACTACGACTGGATCACCGCCTGTGAAGGAGCACCATGCTGCGTCAGGTGATGGATGGAATGATTCAATGGATACTGGTGGGAAATGGCAACAAACCTCTCCAGAAATACCACCCCAACAACAACAACAACAACCAACGCTGCCTGCTCAACCACCCGCAGATCCCCCCAATGCGTGGTCGAAACCTGTAGGCTGCTGGAACGTACCTTCCCAACGCCAACCAACCTCTCAGTCACAACGCAAAGAATTAGATGATGACTGGGGAAATTGGGAGGATCGTAATTCTACGCGGAAAACGGACTGGGCGGAAGAATCTGAGAATGCTGACGCTGGACCACCTATTGGAACTTTCGGACAAGATGCGAAAGAGAAAGAGAGCCTAGCCAATCAAGGTATGTGGGAAGGATCGTGTCTTGAGGACTTGAGCTAAGATTGTTGGTTTGCAGCTCGGCAGAATCGCTCTGGTGGTGGTGGAAATGGAGGCGGAGGCTACGGAAATCGTTACGGAAACGGAAACCGGTCGCGTGGTGGACCGGGTGGATCTAGACGTGGCACTTCACCAAATCGTTACGGTGGACAAAGAGGTGGTCGAGGTGGATACTACGGCGGTGAACGTACTGGCTATAGAAATGAAAAAGGTCCGTGTTGTCTTAAAATTCGAATGGTTGACGCTGACGTGATCTCGCACCCCTTTATTCATCGTGTTCACGTGGATTCGAGCCTAATTCTTCTATAGTGTAATACGAACTGTGGCTTTTCGGGTTAGATGGAAATTTCCGCTTAAAGTAGCTTGTGGGATATTTCATAAATGTGAACCCAACGAAACTAACATTGTTAGCTAATTGATGTTAAGCGCTATGGATGAGCGTAAAGCAAGTTTGGAATGAAAGGCAAGTATGTGATTGTAGCTCCAAGCGAAGCTGCGAGAAAGGGCTTGATTACTTTCCTCCGAGTAATTTCCTGTTGCGATGATTACGGTATTCTAGGTTGGGAGGGAATTAACATTGGTCTTGAGCACCTTTATAAAAATAAACTATGTTTGACGAGAACTTGTCTTTTGAAGAACTCTTTTTCTGTTCCACTGTGTAACCCAGTGTTGCATACTGACAGGGATGTCACATGGCTCAGATTAGCTGGCAAATGTATTTTCCGCAGTTCGAACGGTTGAAATTGAGGCGTTGTTCAGGTTTCTGTGTTCCCGTTGGTGGTTTTTCGAGCATCATTCATTGAAGGAGATCGTGAATTAAGTACTGTATAGACATTTCGCTTGCAGGGGACGGGTATTATCAAGGAAACGGTTATCGTGGGGGACGTGATGGAAACGCTGGAGGACAGAGGGGCTTGCGTGGTAGCGGTCGAGGCGGCGGTGGATTGGGCTCGCGTGGAGGAGGTGGCGGAATGAGTCGGAGACCTGAAAATCAAGCCTAGCTTCTCCAACAGTTGCGGGAACGTCCCTGGCTGTACAAAAGTTGGATTCGGCGTTCGAGGAGGTTCTTTGATCCGACACAAATCTGTTCTGTTAGCATTGCTGCTTCTCGCCCGCCTTCTTCCATGGGATGAGAAAAAGACGAAAATTCTTCGGCTATGCGTAGATTTTCTTTGTTTACTTCCGATCTTCGATTTGAGTTGATGCGAAACTTGGATGAAAGGCATTTTTGTTGCTCTGGATCGGCTTTGATTCCTCAAGTTCCAGCCAAGTTTCCTCTTGCGGTGCGTTGGCAGAGCGCTCGGTATTCTTCTAATGTTCGCGTCAGTTGTTTTCCGACTCGCTTTGAGCGCGTGATCGGGATTTTGCGGGGATTCCGCGTTGCTTGCGGACTTTAGTGGCTGGATGGAGGTGCATGATTTTTCACTTCTGTTCTTCGTCGGTTGCGCGCCCGCAATTTCCATTGGGAAATGCTCCCTAGGAGTCGGAAGCCAGATCGGGGGACTGAAATTTTGAGAGGTGGCGAAACCAGAGGATCCGAATAAATCGTCTCGATTTTTCATCGCCTTGCGGAGGAAGTGTCGGTTCGTCTTGCGTTATTTTTCTGTGCCGCTTGAGGTGTTTTCACCCTGAAGTTCTAGAAGGAAAAAATAGCATGATGGACGCTTCGATTGCATTGCAGAAAGGTTACTGGTCACCTTTAGTTTTCGTCTGTGAACCATGTTCGTACGTTGGACAATCGCGTGTTCAATCCATTGAGGCGATTCTATGGAGGGAGAGGCGGATGTTGTCTCCGATTCCTCCTCGAATCCCTGCCAACTCGACCTTGTAAAAGCATGTCAGTACGGCGTGTTGGACCGAGTTGTGGAGTTGGTGGACGGGCTCGGATTCGATGTGAATGCCCGCGATTCGGAAGGAATCACTCCTCTCCACTGGGCCGCCATCAACAACCGCAAAGATGTGATGAACTATATGATTTCGCGTGGAGCAGAAATCGACCCCGTTGGCGGAGAACTAAGGTCCACTCCTGCGCATTGGGCCACGCGGTAGGTGCTTGGAACATCTCCTGGGTATGCCACGTTCATAGTTCTTAATTCGGATTCTAAACACAGGCAGGGTCATCTGACGGCGGTCGTTATTCTGATGCGACATGGTGCGAATCCCACTTTGAAGGATGGTGATGGAAGCACTTGCCTTCATCTGGCGGCAGAGTTCGGTCACACTGCCATTGTTGCCTATCTGGTAGCGAAAGGCGTGAACGTTGATTTGCTGGATGGTAACGGAATGACCCCGTTGATGCTGTCAAGTCGTTCGATTTGCAGGTAATTCAAAAGTAATGTGAAGTACACTCTCCTCGGATGCCGCTCCATTGTCCACAGAAGCCTTTGTACTGTATTGGTTGTACCTTTGAAAAACAAAACAAAAAACAGCTGAACCCCCTCAACGTTGCTGATTTAATTCACTCGCTGAATTTCCTTGGAAATAATGCATAGAAACATCCTTACCTGAACAGCTCAAACCTCCATAACTGGAATTTCAATGAAGACCTTTTGGCTATCATTTCATTTGAACTGGCTAGATGAAAGGAATAAGAACTTAACTTGTTGCATTTTGAAAGGAAGTGAAGTACTAATTGGGCAAAAAACCCTTGCCTTTAACTTCAGCATTGTGTTAACTCATTTACGAACTAATTCAAAGCCCAGAAGATCAGGATTTCCTGTAATTCTTTCCTTTCCTGGACAAAAATGCTATCCCTGACTCAAAATTTCCCGAACTCAAATTTTGTTGATGGTTCCCTGAAGTTTGACTTGGACAGGCTCGACGGCATTTCATACCGTGGAAGGATAGTAGCTTGGAAGAGCAAGGCTGAATAGTCGAAGCTTGACTTGAGCTTCTTGTGGCTTGTCATTCTTATGCTGTTTTTTATTAATATTTTGCACTCGCCATTAATATTTTGGGTGTCTGAATGGAATCTGTTTTATCTTCGTTAGTCTGGATCCAACTCGCCTATTGATGACTCTTGGAGCAAATGTAACCCTGCAAGACGAAGTCGAGGGAAACACACCATTGCATTGGGCATTATTGGCGAATAACCCTGTAGCCACGACGTTGCTTGCAGACAAAGGTGCACCATTGGACGTTCGAAACAATCACGGAGAGTCTATTTACAATCTGGCGAGGCGTTTGAACGTCACAAACCACCGTTTAAAAATCAGATTAGCCGAGGCATCAAGTATGAATGGTGCGACGACGGCCCGTTCGCGTCGGTGGAAACGTTGGGTCATGCTTTTGATTCCCTTCGTTGCACTCTATGCAGTCGGTGCAATTTTCCAGGCCTCAGTTGATTTTCTCCTGAAAATCGGCTTGCTTATGGCCTTGTATTTATGTGGTTGGGTCGTTTGGAAGGTTGTGTTCGACAAAAAAGTGCTTGATGAGATTCCGGTGTCGGTGTATCTTTCCACGAAGGTAAGCACAAGTACAGTTTTCATTCGCGCCTTTTCGAGGTTCCACGATTTTCGTTTTGTTCATCAGATATGGGGTTACCTCACTTGGTCATTTCGGGTTGCGCCTGCTGTACCCGCTTCGCTATCGGTTGTATTCTACATCGCTGCTACGTTCCATTCGTACTCCTTCTATAAATCATGGCGGATGGATCCTGGACGTGTGCGGTCAAATAAGGATACGAAGTTTTTGGTAGGTGTGCGTGCCGTCGCAACGTTTTTAATTTAAGCTGATGAATATTTGTCCTTGAAGAACCGTGTAGCTTATTACGAAAGAGTTTTCTGGTACTTCTTTATTATAGCTGCCCATTCCCCCAGTCCTTTTTTTTTTCAAACGAGCTGCCGCTGAACGAGCGGCAGTTTGACTGACTGAATGTGAGAAAAATGTCGAAACGCTGATCATACACTGGACTTCTCGAGATTTTCTTTCTTAATTCGAAGAATTTACGTGAAGGTCTTCTTATTCTTACAACTCAGTGGCGCTATGATAAGTACAGTTCCTTTTTCTTCGTTTGTTGTCCGCGCTGAAAGTCTAGTTCTTTCCCAGTCACTCGCATACTTTACTGTAGTATATGTCTTTACATAGTGGATTTCGCTACTGGCCAAGTTATACATTTGATACGCGTCACATTTATTGTTTTTGAAAACCCAGAGGAACGTTGCTTTGAGGGTTTAATTTATTCCCTGGGGGTCACAGGCCCCAGGAGAGGTCATGATGAAGCTGAGGCAATCTTAAATAGTCCTTCGAACAGTAAATGTGCAAAAATGACGTCTTTCATAAGTCGAAGCACCATGTTTTGTAACCTGTTGAGAAATTAATCTTGTTTAACGTCTACGTAAGTATTACTTTCGTGTCTGAATGAGAGTAGACGTGCAGTGATTCGCAGTAAACTTTTAGCAGTTGAGACTTCATGTGTATGGCAGGTTTTCTAATTTTGGCGGACGCCTGCTTTGGAAAGTTCGAATTCAGGAAAAACGGAGTATTAAGCGAACATATTTTTCAGTAGAAGTGGGCTTATGTTTATGAATTCCCTATTTTCTAGGAGATTGTGATAGTTCCTTTGTTTTTGCAGAGCGGATGTATTTTTATACACTTTTATTTAACTTGACTTGGGGTATATCTGTATGTCTCACGGGTATCCAGATTCAGCACAGTTTGCGACTGAAATTTAACCCACTTGCAAATGTCCACTCTGGCTGAAATTCTCCACACTTGTCAAACATTAATGACAGTCCAATCCATTGCAATGTAACACAATTTCAGAATTTTTGATGACCAGAACATTTTAAAATTGACGTAACAAAAATCATCATGAGACACTCTTTTAACCCCTTTAAACTGTTTGAATTCATTCAAATCTTGGGGTTGTATATATCAAGCATTTCTTCAAACATTGTGGGAGTTTTGAAATTTTGGAATGAAAAATAAAGTTTATATTTGAAAAGAAAGAAATTCTGAAATTTTTTAAAATAAGAAAAATCAATTTATAGTGACATCTACTCATTCAATGGACTTGAAACTCTCTCCACTTGTGGAACTAGTGTATTTTTCCAACTTCTGTGATTTTTATGCTTTTCTAAACAAAAATTATTTCTACAAAAAATTGAAAGCTCTTCAAACTCTATTTTTAGTTCTATTATTTGTCTTACAAATTTTAAATTTTATTTTCTAGTACTTCGTTTTCTATAACCTCTAATTTTTTGAAAATTTTAGGAAAACACAAATTTTTACATGTATAAAAACTTGTGAAAGCATGCCTTCCCCAACCCCTATAATCTTTTCCTCCATTCTTCTCTTTTTTAAGTGATGTACACCAGAATTGTGGGATTTTCCTAAACACTGCTACGTAGCACAGGTGAAAACTGTGCTGCACCTACGCTTGCAGGTTCTGAGTTCAATTCCAGGCTCTGGCTGGTTCTTTTGTTGTCCATGAGGAATGAGAGGGACCTAATACAGAACCTGTGATTGAGCTATCATAATGCAATCAAGAAAGATTTAGTGTTAAAAATTCAGAATAGATGCTTATCACTAAAAATAGTTGAATAAAATAATGTTTAAAAAGCATGAAGAATAGGCGTTCATGCACTTAGAATGGGGAAAATAAAATTTTCCAAAAATATCCTGATCTAGTGGTTTAATAAAAGTGTGGACCTTAGTGAATACCTTCTTGTCCTCTATACTAACTCTACCATACTAAATACAAATTTTGCCCCACACTTTTATGAGACCACTACAGTACATCGGGATATTTAAAAAAAATATATTTTCCCAATTTTTAGTGCATGAAAGTCTATTTTATGTTTTTTACACTATTTTATTGTCAATCAATGTGAATAAGTGTGTCTTTCTGGTAACGCGTGAAGTAAGGTTTCGCGGGTCTTTGTTCAAATATTCAATGCTTCTGTTTTGGAGAAGTACAGAGAAACTGTAGAGGCCCTCCATGGATTGAAATGTATGTCGTTCACTATGTATTTTCAGACGATCATAGAGCTTGCGGAAACAACTGGATTCGATCCGAAATGGTTTTGCAGCACGTGCCTTGTACGAAAGCCTGTAAGATCCAAACATTGTTCATTTTGCAATGTCTGCGTGGCCAAGTTTGATCATCATTGTCCGTGGATTAATAATTGCGTTGGTGCCAACAATCATCGGTAAGTTTCTGTTCCGAGTTGTGCATTTCATTTACTGACACTTGGGTGTTGTTTTTATTTTGCAGGTATTTTGTCTGGTTTTTGATGTCTCTGCTGTTTTTGGTGCTTTTCTTCGTTTACGGCTGTTCCGAGTATTATGTTGCGACGTGCGACTTGAGTTCGGCTGCAAGTTGGCCGGTCAGCATTATACTTGCGTTCCAGTGCGATCCTTGGGTTGCATGGATGATGTTCAACATGCTTTTACACGGAATCTGGGATATGTTCCTGCTAACGAGTCAAGTGTACCAAATAATCGCCCTGGGGATGACAACCAATGAGTCGCTCAATTGTGGTCGCTACAAACACTTCCATGTTCAGGGTTCGATCGTGGAAAGTCCTTTCCAGTGAGTGCTTTGCGAACTCATCAGTCGTGTAGTATTTCTCAATTTTCGTTGAAACGTGAACCATTCCGCTTATCTTTTTGCTTTATTTCGAATTCTAACCGTTGAGTATTTTACATGCGTGTCCCTTTCGAAGTTAAAAAGATTGAAAAGTATGAGTGAACTCTTTATTCTCCGTCTTCTCTTGGATGTCCAATGACCTCGCTGTGGGATTATATTTGCTGATGTGTTGGTATGACGTAAACCTTTGTGAAGTTTTGTACTTGCATTCATCCTCCCTCACGATTGGTCATGTAACTTTGGGATGGTCTGTTGTCCATCAATTCATGCTGGGCTTACGTGAGTTATTTCTCATCATCTGATTCCGACAACGCCTGTCACATTTTGAGAAAACGAGATTTGTGTTACGCCCGAGAATTGAGAATGCCTTTCCAATTTTTGTGACTGAAGTTGATGGATGTGTGCTGGTTCATTCCGTTTTAAACTTCGCGTATGCGCTAGTTTTCTAAATTCGTTTTGTATATCATCGTTTACAGTCGCGGACTGTGGCAGAACTTCGTGGACTTCTGTGGCTTTCGATGTTTTGGATGCTGTCGCCCGGATCAAACGGACTGGAGACAAGTATACGAGATCACGGATAATTCCCACCATACCGGTCGTCTGTTACCCGGGTGCACTCCGAATGACAAATATCAGTGTGTTTGAATTGCCCTGCGATAAAAAAAGGGCCAATATTAGCGAAGCGCGGAAGAGGACGCGGAGCTTTTTCGATTCAATTTTTCACGGGATCGCATGGTCGATGGGAATTTGCCGTCTTGCTTTTATCGTCCGTTGAAGTGTTCCTGTTCTGTGGCTATTCCCAACTGATGTGTTCACGACTTTGTTTGCATCTTCGGTGTCCCGTATTAAAGTACACTGTTTCGATCGTTTTCCACCTGAAAAATTTGGTTGGTTAAAAGCCAAAGGAGAGCACAACTGATCAATGTTGTTGGATCGTTTTTATTGCTCAATCCTGTCTGGTCTATGAAATTATTTCTGATAAGAGAGAGGAAAAAGCGTTGATTTCGTCATGATTTCATCTGTTGTAAAGGAAATTCCTGATGTTTACTCTCCGTGACGTTTCTTATCGATTACTGATGAGTAGGCGATCAATTGATAAATTGTTCACGTGAATCAACGGTTTTTGCCGAAGATTAACTAAATCTGACGTCTGTTGAACCATTATGAAACTACTCAACACACAGTAGGTTATTTTCTATTGCTGCTCTTCGATGATTAAGTTGATCACTTGAACGTTGAACCTGAGCGATTCGTAATGCTTAGCCTCGACGGCAGTACTGTAGTTTCAGAACTGAAGAAGGTTGAATCGATTCTCCTATTTTGAAAGTTGGCTGTCAACATTCGTTCGTAACGAATCAAAGTCGTGGGAATTTCCTGCGAAAAAAACAGGTGTATTTGGCTACGCTGAAAGTTCAATGGGCTTCTTCGAAGCGATGGAGCAGAATTTCGTATGACATTGATTTGTGTCATCCGCTTTCAAAACGCCGTTGAAAATGGGTTACTTGCCTTGCTTTTTGTGTGCTATTCTTTTTCCGAAGGGAGTACTATTTTTTCCATATTTTCTGTAAGTTGGAACGTGGAAGTTGTTGAAAAGATCAAAAAGCGACGATAAGTTGGGGATGGCCGTTTTGTGGTTTTTGTTCGGAATGTGGGACCTTTCGCACGGTGGATCTCCGGAAAATAGCGGAACGATTGAGGAATTCTTTTTTTGCTGGGACTGTTATTCTGTGAAAACCTGGGAAAGTTATGTTGATCTCGTGTTGTGCTCCGCGGTAAATATTGAGATCAAGTTTTCTTGTCATTTGACTCGAGATTTTAGCCATTTCAATTTCAAAGACGTGCATTGCGTTTCCAGTCTAACGTGAAAGCGACATCAGTTGCTTTTCAAGCTCAGGAACGCACTATTGTGGCTTTGTTATGTATGCCCTTATCTACAATTTTATGCTCTGTGATCCATAAATCGCTTGTGATTGTGCGTCGGGTTTCGTTTGTTTTCATGATCTCAAGTTGGCAAGTGACAGGTATGCAATGGCTTCATTGTTCCGGCTGTAACCCCTCCGCGAAAATCGCCCATCATTCGCTTCTTCTCCTCATGACCTTAGCGAGTCTTCAAATTTTGGTGCGAACAGTGCGTTTTTTTAGGTGCTGGACTTCGAGTCTTCAAACGGATGCCGAGGAGTTCAATGCTGATCAACAAGTTTACACAAGTCCACAAGGTGTGTATGTCGTGAACGGGGTAATGATCGAACAACAAATGTATGCGTGACGTAGGTGTTTATGCGCGGATGGATGAAATTGAGAAAAATCTTCGTTACGATACCTTCTTTCGCTCCTCACTCACGATCAGAGACTCTTTTAGCCTATTGTGACAAGAATGCGAAGGTTTTCATTGGGCATCTTGCGGTGTGAAACATTGGTGATAACCCCGAACGTGTTGTTTGCAATCATGAAATTTGTCCTGAGTCGCTGCATCGCTATTGTGGACATTTTGCCGGTTTCAGTGATGAGCCGAAATTATCTGAATTCCATTGCGGGTATAAAATTGAAATTAGCAAAATTCCAGCTCTTATGAAATTGTCAAGGATTTAGCGACTCTTGAATAATTCTGGTTTTTTTTTTCCTTGGTGGTGTGAAAGTCGAAATATTCCTGAGGAGTTTTGATGTGCTTGAAAAATAATGGAATGCGTTTAATTTTTTTGGTGCGATACGTAAATATAATTAGAGAGAAATTTTGTCATCCGATCAGTGCTTCAATTTTGGGTCAACTTTTCACGATGTGTTGTCACAAATGTACCATGAATTACGAAAGTTGGTTCTCAAGTTTTGAAAATTCTTGAAATAGATCCTAGAGTTTCATAAATTCCTTATTTATTTTTACTCACTTAGCCTCATCATTTGGCAACTCTCAAGTCCTGTTCAGCACATTCTTTACCGATTTTAATGCTTTTTTCCATGCAATAAATCCAATGATCAAAACAGTGCCAAAAATTGATGATTGTGTTTGACAATAAAGCTGCTCCTTGATGGTGGAAATGAGGCTGTCACTGTTCTCAAAATCAATCCCTTTCAGATCATTCTTCACTGCTGGAAACAGCCAGAAGTCAAGCATGCAATGAGTTTTGTTTGTGATTGTTTTTGGAAAAAAATTCAGCAACAAAAAATTTTTTCCTCTGCCTCTGCCTGTTCCTAAAGATGAAGAATGATCCAAAAGGGATTGATTTTGAAGACATTGACAGCCTCATTTCTGCCATCAAGGATCAGAATGCTCAAGTAACACAATTATGAATTTTTGGCACTGTTTTGATCATTAGATTTATTGTATGAAAAAATGCATTGAAATTGGTGGAGAATATGTTTTGTACAGCAATGAAGTGTAGCCAAATTATGGGACTAAGCAAGTAAGAAATGAGCTGGAATTGTTGAAACGCTGTTGGATCTCGGTATTTCAAATTTTTTAGAACTTATGAGCCAACAATGTATTCTATAGCAAGTTACAGGTCAACTTGAATCAGCCAGCAAGCTCTTTGGTATTCGAGAAAAGAAATAATCAAAATGTTTCAACGGAAAAGGAATGCGTTGAAAGCATGTTCAGTAAGATTGTGCCGGAATTATTTCAAGATTATGTTTGCTTGCTTTTTTTTGAGAGTATAGGATTCGTAACGTGGCTCCAGTTTCCTCCTTCCAGAATATTATCTAGTTGGCGATGCTAGAATCAGCTTTGTGGACTTGCCGTCCAAAACAAAGTTTGAGGATATCTGTGACGATTCCACCGACATCCTGATACTCATCTTGACGACTCCGGAAAACAAGTTCTTCCGCAAGCAACTCCGGCGTATCTGGGCCAACAAATGCAACCTGGGTGTTCACAACATCAAGGCAGTGATGCTCATGGGCCACCACCCCATTTTGTCCCAGGCCACACGAGAAGTCCGGGGCAGCATGTCGTCCCTGCCTCCTCCCAATCAGTCGTTCGAGTACAAAAGAAGGTACCGCATCACTCACCATGGTTACGTCGTCAACGCGTCGATAGTGCGCGAGAATTTACGTCATGGTGACGTCGTCATGGTGGACCAGGTGGAGTCCTACAAGAACCTCACCTACAAGGTCGCTGCTGGGTTCCAATGGGGACATCGGTACTGTCCGCAAGCAAAGTTCATTGGCAAGGTGGACGATGACGTGTTTCTGGGTACGGAGAGGTTGATGTTGTACTTGCAAGGCTACGACGGGGGCAAAGCGATCGTCGGTTCCCACAATATGGTTTATGACCCTGCTCGTTGGAATGCTTCGAGGTTCGTTGACCCATTATTCGAGTGTTCGGTATTTTTATAAAATCGGAAACTTTCACGTCTTCTAGGATGAGCGGATTTCCTGTTTGCTTGAAGTGTTACATTTATATCTGCTTCATGCTTTGTTAGATGAACTTCTGGTGCTACCTTATTGGGTTCTATAACTTCTCACCATTGACCAAAATTAACCAAAGCCCCTTGGGTGTGATTTTCAATCCTTAACCCTTGGTCAACGAACCTCTCATTCAACAAACTTTTGTCCTCCAAAATAAATCCCTTGGTTAATGAACCAAAATTTGATTAACAAAGTTTTGTTCCGAGGCAAGCATCCCAAATTTTAAATTTAAAAATTTGGTGATGACACCAAACTGCAGGGTACAATCTCGTTTTAGTTCCAATTGACAAAGAAGCAGAAATAGAATTGGACATACTGAAGGCTTATAGGAAGTTTTTGAAGTTTATTCAACATTAAGTGAGGAAATAATGGTGTGCCATGGATGTTCCATGGTTTGAGCAGAATCAATTGAACAAATATGATATCCAGCACTAAGAAGTTGTGAACAAAGGTGTGCGCTTGACGTATTTTTCTATTTGTTCTCTCTGTTCAACTGCTGAATGTGTTCTTTTGTTACAACATTGTAGAATGAAGTTAAAGAACATTGCATTTTGTGGTGACAGTTATCCTACTCATATGGGAATGTTTTTCTGTATGTGAGGCTTCTTGAGTGTTGTTTTCAATAGCCGTACTTCCATCCAAGCATACCAAACATTTTGAACACACACAGGATGTTTCAGCAATTCATTATGATTGAATTTTTGTCCTGATTTTTCTCCATTACATTTTCAGATGCATTTTTTGTGTCAGAAACAGATCAATTGATTCTTCATTGCAGTCTATGGGAAAATTAAATGTGGTTAACAAACTTGTTTGGAACCAAGAAAGTTTGTTGACTGTGGGTCCACTTTCTATATATACAATACATGTACTGTACTGCACTTGATAATCTCACCAACAAAGGTAAACAAAATATAGACCAAACCTAAGCAAATAACTGATGTAAACTCGAACGTTTTACTTCACATGGAAGATAGAGAGCCATTTATGGTGCACGTACAGCATTTTGTTTTCCGCTGCGATGAGAAATGATCTTTATCGCTGTTCCCTCTGCATGCATGCGAAGTCTTACTCCACTTTTCAGGTGGTATGTGACGTATAATGATTATCCGAAGCGGGTGTACCCTCCTTACTCAAATGGCTTCACATACTTCATGACATACGAGTACGTGGAAGATATGCTCGTGTACTTGCGAGGAAGACGACTTCTTCCTGTTGAAGATGTCCAGCTGACCGGACTGGTGGCCGATGCCATCCACGCCAAGCGAGTGAACTCCTTTCTCGACGGCGGCGGAAACTGGACCTTCCTCGGCGACTGTTCGATGCTCGGGAATTGGTTGAACAGAACGGGAACGTCGTACGAGGATGGGCCGATCTCAGTGCTGTGTTTCGACACGAATTACGTCGAGTTTGCGAGGCAAAAACTTGCGTTGCAACGATTGCAAAGGTTCGCGCGAGGCTTGGGATTGCGAGGGTGGCCTTTCGAATTCTAGGGAAAAAGAATCCGTGTCCTCGCATGTATATACAGGAGACAATAATGTGAGAGATAATTGTATTATCGTTGTATCCCAAATCTCGACAGGCTTGAGTTCATGATTCACGCCGATTTGTGGCTTTCTCTTCATGCGTGAAGGAATGTTGGCGTGATCTTCCATCCTGATCGGACGTATAGTGGCAAATTTTCAGTTCTTAAGTTGGTTTTTTCGAATGTTCTTCAGCCACTTCGCGGAGAATTTGAAGAGCAGTGCCTCATCGAAGTGCGGTACGTGGTTCAAACCTGAAACGAAGTTTTAATTGTCCGTTAATTTATTTCGACCTTCGGTCAAGCGTGATGAATTGTTTCTTGTACAGAACCTGGTAAGTGGCTGGCGATGCTCGCAATTGTGATCGTGACGATGGTTCCGATGTGAACCGTCAGAAGGTAGGATATTGTGTAAAGCTTCTTCACACCTTCGCTATTGAACGACGATGAAAAGAAACGTGTGAGCACGAAACATGAGCAAGTTTGATTTCATTTCCTGTCTTGCTATTTTTTCATCGATTAATGAAAAAGGTTACAAAAGGGGGCATTCTTTCTAATTGTCAGTTATGCTCTTTTTGAAATTTTGTTTCAATTTTACTTGATCAAGGCTGCAATTGGGATATATATATATGCGGAGAGCGGGAAGGGCATCAATGCATCATTTAAGGGAGATCGTTCTCCCGTCAAGTACTGTATTTAAACCTGCTGAAAAATAAGCTTAGTACGTGATGCAAACTAAAGATCTATCAGCCATTTCCTTCTGAAAAAAACATTTTCATCTGAGTTGTGCTTAATGTGAATGGATGCCTGTTATTGTCTGTTGTAAAGCAAATTCAGCGAGGGCAGGACACCAGGACTTGAATAGAATTATCATGAAATGAATGCATGATATGGTGAGTTCAAACGCAGAAGTCTTAGAACTGGAATTAATTTGACTGTGTGACTTGATTTTCGAAATTGTTTCGATCAACGATTTTTGAGGATTATCAAACCCTCAATCTTAGCTCGTGAACTTGCTATTGTACGGTGTAGTCCTGTAGAGTTATATTACTCGATAGGAAACATTTTTGAAGTTGATTGATGAATGCCGTATTTATCCGGGTACACTACTGTACTTGGTTTACTGTCTGAAAAGTCAAGGCCACATGTACACGAATACCATGCAAGCCTTTCTTATTTCAGAATTGAGAGGGAAAGATTAAAAAATTAATCTGAAAAACCACATTTTCAAAAAGCAAAAAATAACCTTAAATGTGGTGCGCATCTATTTCATTTGTATTTCACTTCTTCCCAACAATCTCCATGCGCACCACGTTTAAGGTTATTTTTTGCTTTTTGAAAACGTGGTTTTTTAGATTAATTTTTTAATCTACTATAATTATTTTATTCTTTTTAAAAAATATTCTTAAAATTAATTTTTTCACAAAAGATTGCATTGTCATCAGTTTCTAGGCTATCCTGAAAGTTTCAGCTTGATAGCTAGTCGGGAAGTGAGTGAAATTTGAGTTTCAAAATTTGATCCGGACAAACAAACAGACAAGAAAGTGAGTTAATAAAAACGTGTTAATTAATTAGAAAAAAAAATGTTCCAGGGGGTGGGATTGAACTCGGACCTCTGCGACCAATTCAGTTCACCATGGGTTTTTTTCTTGGGGCCAAGGAAAACCTGCTCAAAGTTTTATTATAGAAATCTACTATAATTATTTTATTCTTTTTAAAAAATATTCTTAAAATTAATTTTTTCACAAAAGATTGCATTGTCATCAGTTTCTAGGCTATCCTGAAAGTTTCAGCTTGATAGCTAGTCGGGAAGTGAGTGAAATTTGAGTTTCAAAATTTGATCCGGACAAACAAACAGACAAGAAAGTGAGTTAATAAAAACGTGTTAATTAATTAGAAAAAAAAATGTTCCAGGGGGTGGGATTGAACTCGGACCTCTGCGACCAATTCAGTTCACCATGGGTTTTTTTCTTGGGGCCAAGGAAAACCTGCTCAAAGTTTTATTATAGAAATCTACTATAATTATTTTATTCTTTTTAAAAAATATTCTTAAAATTAATTTTTTCACAGAAGATTGCATTGTCATCAGTTTCTAGGCTATCCTGAAAGTTTCAGCTTGATAGCTAGTCAGGAAGTGAGTGAAATTTGAGTTTCAAAATTTGATCCGGACAAACAGACAGACAAGAAAGTGAGTTCATAAAAACGTGGCAACAACAAAAAGGAGGGGTGCGCATCATAGGCGGGTAAAAAGCTTTAGAAGTTTATAGCTTTGCATTCTACTGAGAAATCTTGGACCAATTTAAACAGAAAAGCTTCTTTGATCGTAAACATTGAAAGTTACTGGGATGCAGGTTATACATTCACATCTGAATTCAAACTTTTCTTCTTATTTTCTAAATATTTCAGTTTAGATTCACTACGAATGGGATGTGCGTCTTACTGTGGGTTACGATTTTACAAGAATTTCGAGTTGAAAACCCCTCCCGTGGTGCGCGTCTTGCTGGGAGAGCGCGAGTAATAGGGTATTCAATTGATGAAAGAAATTGAATTATGATTCATGTGCGAGTAATTAGCTGGTGAAAAGAAAGTATGAAACAGAATTGAGCTGGATTTTCAGCGGTCAAAAGCTAAAATGTGGGGATATAGGTGTGCATGGTATTTATTGCAGTAAAGTGATAATGGTAATTAGGCTCTTTCCTCATATGACCTGTCCAGCAGTTGGATAAGTATGTTTGAGTATGCAGTACAGTACAGTATGTCACTGTACTAGCTGTACTTGACAGGCATTTGAACTGGCACTGCTGGTATATTATTAATCGAGTTGAGGTCCGCATATGGCTTTCCCGAAGAAGAAACAAGAAAAGGTTCGACTTCCTGTGTGAAAGTGCTGGCTTACATTAGTTCGTGATGAGTTGGTGGCGTCGTACTTGTGATGTTAAGTGGTCCTGTACAATTGGCGACGGAGAATGGAAGTGTACTCGGCGTTGGCAGATCTGATACCCACGCTCCGAAACCGATCCAGCACGAGATGCCTGTTCCGGTAACTACGCCTGCTATCACCCCCTATATACACACAAGTATCCTACATGGAAACCTTATTGACAAATGTGACCCACAGCTCTTCTAAATGATGGGGTCAATAAATGTTCCACGCACTTTGGGAGACACGAACGGAGAGAATATCGAGAGAAGGAATAATCCAAGCAGTGGTCCCGACATGGTGCCAATCACTGTGAAGGTGATTTGCAAGACTCCGTCTAGTGTCGAGGCCACGAAGGCGACTCCGACGCCGATCACCCCGTATGCCAAACCTGAATTTCAGAACATTCCCGGATGCTGCAACATTATTCTTAACATTTCGATCGACATCAAACTACAGTAAAATCTTGTTATACAACGATGAAGCCATCATTGCCCCCAGCTGTTGGTATTTATTTATTTATAAAAAGTAACTCATCACTTCTGATTCTATAGAACAAACTGCGAAACATAGGAGAAGCATTTCTCATCGGCAGCGGAGGCGCAGAACCCAGCACCAACTGCACTGAAACTTGTATTAATGTTGAACGTTAAACGAAACTTGTCTCTGATGCACAGCACTGAAAATATGGTGAGATACCATCAGTCATACCACTGTGCTTATATGATGCGTCATCAGCCTGCTGCGATAAAAATTGTCTTATTTTTAAAACCTCCTATTACAAGACACCGTCATGAGATAATTGTCATGCAACCCACCCAAAAGCTTGATGGTCCTTGCCGATGTTACATCATTTGTGCCTTGCCCCCACTTCGAAGGTCGTATGAAATCCTCCCATGTCACGGCTGCCAATGAGTTCATGCTGGACGACATGGAACTAAACAAGGAGTGGAAGGATGAACAAGATTGACTTGGAGAGTCGGAAATGATTTTCACCGGAATTTTGAGTCAATGCATGATGGTATTTGCTGCCACCTTTTAAGAGCAACTGCATACTGTATACTGTAATTCCTTTTCGATAACAAGTCTTCCCTGATGACATAATATTGTTAAAACCCGCATTAAAACATGCCATCCACAAAAATTATTCATGTTGAAAAAAGAAGGCACACGCACAAATAAGACGACATAACTGATTTCTTATTTAAATCATGCGCTATTTGATAAATTGTACACACCCCAGTGTGGTTATTTTGATTTTTTCTGAAAAGAATACGAATTTTAATCCCAATTACATTTCATTTCGAAATAATTTTTATTAAACCGGCACAGTAAATCTTGCAATAAGCAAATGGGGGCTGCTTATGGACATGGGACTTGTGCTGCAGCACGTGTTCTATTTGCTTTTTCTATCAAGAGATGTCGCACTAGTACAGCTGTATATCACAGCATCATCAACTATACAACAACCCGCGAGGGGCACCGTACACATCACAACTGCCCCCACGCCTCGCATCGCCTGTCTTTCCTTGGATGGACATTCCTAGTACAGTACAAATACTGAAAAAGGTTTACAATAAAATTACGCAAAACATGGCATTTAATATGTTATTTTCCTCTGATTATTCATTGTAATTGAATTGTTTTAAAAATTACTGGACTTTTGGAGTGGTTACGTTAAGGTAGGTTAGGTCAGGTTATGTTCGTTAAAAATATCTTTCAACTAATATAACCTGACCTAGCTGATTCCCCCAAAGTGTAATAATTTTCCTTGAAGCAGTAAAATTTGCCTAGGTTCAAAACTGACCTAACCTAATTCAACATAACCTAACCTATTTACTTACAGTAAATAAACAGAGGAAAAAAACATCTTGCGTAATTTCACTGCAAAACGTTTACAGCATTTGCTCTGGGGAATATGTCCATTCCAAGGAAAGACAGGGGATGCGCAGCGGTGGGGATGGGGGCAGCCCCCCGCGAGTACAATATATAGGCCTGTTATACTGTCTTCGTCAAAGGTTGAGCTTGCCTTAAGGCACCGCTGAACAGAGCAGCGACGAAGAGACCCGGGAGGCCCTTGAATTGACCCAGGTGATCAAGGACAAAGTAGGTCGTTATCTCGTCCCTCTTTTGTATGAACCCTGCCTCGACAGGGTCGCATTCGGCGTAGTTGGCGAACATGACGATGCCGGCGAGACACGCGGTGCTGGTCAACGCCATGACTCCGGGCACGCTCCAGAAGATCACTCTGAAAACATTCATCGTCCCGCGATGGATTTCCAATCTTATTGTTGCAATTACTCTATATTACATATACACCGGTGTGTATAGTTCCGTATTATTTCCGGCAGAAGAATAATCAAGTCATGCGAACTACCGGCGAGCTTGGGACACAGAGGACATGCCACTCAGCCGCTGGACGGTGGCCTGGCGACACCCGAACGTGAACAGCCAGAGGAGAAACAAGTTGGTCCCCAAAGCCCAGAAGTTGTGCCGCAAGAACGGATCCGGAGAGACCCTGAATTGAATGTTGAAATCAGCAGCCACAATAAGAAAAACAGAAATTGTCTCG